ATAAATGGGAGGACTAGAATTAGGAATTTGAGTTAATCTGTGTGATTTGCAAAGTTTGATACGCAGCAAGGGTATGCATGAAATCAATTTTAAATTAAATTCTGAATACAAGTTAAATTATTTAATGCGGCTAGGATGCGAATCCACCAAATTTAAAATATCAATATCCACCGATTCATAAATTATAAAAAAAAAAAAGATAAATAAAAAATTGGGTTACGCAGATAAAATGATTTTACGGGATTAATTCAACTAAGTGTCTGTAATTTTTTTATTAAAAATATATATCTATTCTTCGTTGATGAATATAATTGGATCAAATTTAAAAAATTCATTTAACTCACAGAAGATCAGTTCATGCAGAGGCGTATTTGACCCATTTCCGAGCACTAGGGAGGACCATCAATTAAATAATTAACGACAGTTGCGTTTTGTCTGCACACTCATTTGTCTTTTTCTCATTTTCTTACTCCAAAACTCAGCTATCAAAAAATAAATAAACAAGAAAACGTACATCTTATATATAACTGCTATATTCTTAAACCGAACTTTCGATGAAAAAAACTGAATTTTATAGCTGTAAGACCATGTTTATTGCAGGTCCCTTAAGTTGGGTCCCTTAACGTATGGTCCCTTAGCTTTTAACTGAAAACGCTAAGGGACGTCCCTTAAATCCCTTATATAAGGGACGTCCCTTAGCGTTTTCAGTTAAAAGCTAAGGGACTGTACGTTAAGGGACCCAACTTAAGGGACCTGTAATAATCATGCTCTAATGCGAACGTAGTTGTACTTGTACGTCTATTAATAATAGTCTAATAGATCATTGGCTTCGACTAAAAACAGAAACAACTCGACGCTCTAAAATGACAAATCATCTATAGTGAAGGACGACACAAACGAAACAAGAACAAACTTTCACTTAAACGAGTATCCACATTCCTCGTACAAGTACAAAATCCTTTGACTTAACTCTTTGCAGATTAGTTTGTAATTATCATTCTTGTTCCCTTGAAGATGCAAAGTATAGAAGACTCGTTCTCCCCGAGAACTCGACGATGAAACATCCACGAGAACAAACCCATCTTCTTCTAATCCACTCAGCACATTATATATAGAAAAATTATGAATCTTGGACGATGAGATTTGGACCATAATTTCGTTGTCTCTAAGCTTAGTCGCAAAAACGGTTGAGAAATAACTAGCAACCACCTTTGCTTGCGGCTTAACGTAAGTTTCTCTCTGACCCAATATTCTCACCAATAAGTCATCTTTCTTTTGTTTTAGCGTCTTCACTTCCTCTTCAAGCTTCGGTATATACTCAACGCTCCGTGAAACCGTCTGAGGAATACTTAGCTTCTTCTACGATAAAATAAAAAAGACTTAATTGGTTTTTGATATGGAACATATTCAGTGTAGCTACTTACCGGTTTATCTGACCTTGGAAGACATGAGCGAAGAGAAGAGAACAAAGAGTTAGTTTTCTTGCGACGGTTCCGCTCATTAGCATTGTGTTTTAGCTTCTTGATCACGACCGAGTTGTTGTTTATTCCATTTCCCTCTGACGAAACTGAAACCCTTAAGCTGGTCTGATTATGAACCACTCCATATGTCTTTGGTTCCGGAAAATCAAAAAACGTGCCGATGTTATGGTTATCTCCGACGACTTTGTAGCTCTCGTACTCTACCTTTGACGCCGACCCAAAGTTTGGGAACAATGGAGGGCCCAATGCATTCATTTTTGCTTAGCTTTTTTCTTCTCTTGAAGCTGTACGTTCTGGTTGGATAATACTGACCTGCCATATATAAATATATAAGTAGTATTAACCAAATAGACCCTGTTGTCAAATCAAAGTTAGCAAACTATGTTATAAGTTATTTGAAGTGTTAACGACGTAATACATTCTATAACAAGGAATATCATGTTTGTAAGCATATACCACACGCATACTCATTTTATAAGGTGATATTTTTTGGGGCAGGTACTTATTGATAAAAACAGTTGAATTTTGTATGTTCATTAGGTAAATGACATATTCTTCCTAATTCATAAAAGTGATGTTTGGCTAAAAAATGTTTATTTTAGTTTTTTTTGTAACACCACTTAATTTCATCCATTCAAAGTGGTTCGGCTAAGGGTATTTCACATCCTTTCGTATATACAATAGCATAGAAAATTAAATCAGACAGGCCTTCTTCAGAAGTTGACAGCGTAAGCGAAACAACTACATCAAAGGAGCCTTCACGACAAAGTAGGACATCAAGAGAATAGTCACATGATGTGAAGTTGAGAACCAACCTTCACCAATGAGAATCACCGAAGTAATCTCGATTGCATCTTCTATCTTCTGCCCCATACAGACCACTACAAGATAACAAACCGGCGAGTGAGTTGAAATAATCACTCGGTAACATACACGTGAAAACATCTCCTTTCATAGAAAGAAGGCATACTTGCAAAGTACTCACCTCGGTACGTAGAGAAAGAGTATGTAAGCGGAGACAAACTTTGTGGCTTCATTATTCATATGATAAATTCTTCATATGTTTATTTCTAGATAACTTCAGTTTTTCATTATAGACTAACATGTATTTAGTTTTTCTTACATTTTATATTCTTCAGCATGTTTTACAGTTGCTTAAATAACTTTTGTCTAGCTAATAATAGATGTTTGTTTCGAAAACAATTTATTAATCTACATACAACAAAACTTAAGTCTTTTATATGCTGTTTTTACATTTTTCATGTTACTACTATTTCCATGATTCGAACGTAATATTCGTTTATAAGTAGTAAAACAATTTATCAGCGATATGCATGGAGATAAAATTATTTACAACGGCTCAGCAATTATACGGGAATCCATGAATTAACGAAAACCTAATATATACCAATTGATACGTTCATAAAAATTGGAAAAACAATTAGGGAAAATATTTGGACGTACATGTATATATTATGAACAGACAAAGTATAAGAGATATCACTGTATGCGAATCCAAACAAGATTATGAAATGATTAAAAACTATAAGAAGATTATTGTTTACATATTGAAGATGACTCGGCTTGAAATTGTTGGCGGCTCGTAGAATCAGGTAGAGGATGCTTTTGATGGTGTAAGCCTATACATAAGCATTTTGAAAATTGATATATTTACCTTAAATAAATGCAGCCTCATTATTTAACTCAGCAAATCTATTAATATTTTTTTGATAAAAAAGCTATTATCATTTCGGTCAACTTGATTGCCATCCTTTTACGGGAAACTAGGTATTTTCCTACTTCATATATGCATCAGCAAAATTTTCAAATTTAAATTATATTTTAAAATCAATTTTAGTAAATACTTTAAATATTATTATTTCTATATTAATATTTTTATTATAAAATTTCATTTGTTTATTTTTGCTAAGGTATATTGAATAAATTCGTATAAAATTGTAAAAAAAAAAGAATATATAAAATTGTATTATTATCAAAAAAATGAAGATAAACAGAATTTTCTAAGTTTGTTTGGTATCAAAAGAAAATAAATGGTATAGAATTCTCTAGAATAGCCATTGTTAGTGTATTTTTACAAAGTAACCACATGACATAAAGGGATCAAAAGAGCTTTTATTAGGTAAATATACTCTAATATCCCTAGAATTAACTAACTATATTTTTTGTTTAGAGTTAAGATGTTAAGTTTTGGAGGTAATGCTTAAATTTTTACAAAATTGAAAATAAATATTGATTTTTTAAAAAAGTTTAAAAATAGTTTCGGAAAGAATTTTGAAATAAAAATTTGAAAAAGAATTCGTAAAAATAAAAATAAAAAATCGAATTTGAAAACATATAATCCAAAATCATTTAAAAAGTATTTTTCTTATTTTTTTAATTTTCAGTTATATATATATATATATATAAGAAAGGGATAGAAAGTTCATTTGTCTCTTTAATAAAACATATTTTGTTCATTTTATCTTGAATATAAAAATGACAATTTAGTAGAATTGTCCTTCAAAAATGGCAATTATTATAGATTTTTTATTATTATATTATTTAATGTCATATTTGAATAAAATTATTTTTCTGATGATATATGAATTATTACCATATTTTAAAATGTCTAACAAAAGCAAAAATTAACATTTAATGTAATTGCTTGTATCAAATGTAGTCATAAATCATGTCATCGATTTTAATTCACCACGTCATAATCTATATTATTATTTTCAGAGTAAATTTGTTTAGTTGTCAACTTTTTCATGATTTTAGATATTTTTTTTTATTTTCATGTTTTAACAATTTTATATATAATTTATTATATAATAAAACACAATTATTTTAAGAATATTATGGTTTTAGAAAATAAGTTAATTATTTGTATTAGATTGTTATCTTTGAAAATATATTTTCTATTATAAATTTAAGTGTATTTTTCAAATTCTCCATTATTTTAGGTAATTTGGTTTATTTGGCATATTTTAAATAATTACATATATAATTTATTATATAATAAAAAATTATATTAATAATATTATATGTTTTGAAAATTAGGTAATTCTTATGTATTATATTGTTATCTTGAAAATTTATTTTATTTTATAAAAATTATAACAAATATAAATCAAGCAATGCTAGTTTGTCACATTCTCCATGATTTTGATAAATTTTCTTAGTTTCACATTTTAATAATTTTATATATAATTTATTATATATTTAAATAGAATATATATTAATAATATTATATTTTTATAAAATAAAATAATTCTTATTTCTAGATTGTTATCTTGAAAATATATTTTCAATTATAAAATTTAAGTGAATTTTCTGATTTGTAACTTTTCCATGATTTAGGTAATTTATCTTTTTCATATTTTTAATAATTTCATATGTAATTTATTATATAATAAAAACAAATTTCTATTGATAATATTATATTTTTTAGAAAATAAGATAATTCTTGTGTACTAAATTGTTATCTTAAAAATATGCTTTCTATCATAATATTTAAGTAAATTTGCTGATTTGTAACTGTCTATGATTTTAGTTAATTTTGCTTATTTTTCATGTTTTAATAATTCCATATATAATTTATTATATATTAAAATGAACTTATATTAAGAATATTATACTTTTAGAAAATGACATACTTCTTATGTGTTATATTGTTTTCTTAAAATATATTTTTCTATTATAGAAACAAAAACTTAATATCTAAAAAAATTATAATTAAATATGAATTAAGCAAAACATTTGTATAATTTTTAAAAAAATATTTTACTATGTGACTGATGTTGTTTATAATTAATTTTTAAAACATAAAGTATAACTTATTATGTGTTTTCTTTAGTTAATAAAATATAAATTAATATGTATTCGTAGAAATATAATGTATATACGAACAAAAAACACCTGATTATAAAACAAAACATTACGACGTCCATACATCCCTATATACCAAAGCTTATACGAAATTCATGCATACCCTGCAATGTATCATATATATATATATATATATATATATATATATATATATGTTTATTTAGACGGTCAAAACGTCCGATCTATCCTGATTCATATAGTTCCAGTCGATAGGGAAATAAACAATATCTGCTACTCCGCGGAAGTTACCGAACAACTTCTTTTTGGCATCGATTTTCCATTTCACGAGATAATGGTTCGTCTCACATTTCGTAGGAGTGATCACGACCGTTGCTGTCACTTTATAGAACTTCTCGTCAACCTGAGTGTAACGCCCCGACCGCCCACGGTTAATGGGTCACCCACGACCGCTTTCTCGGCCCATGGGCCCCATCCCGTTCCAACGGTCGGTCCGTTAATTTTCCAAGACTCTAGAGTCATGTTTACTGACCCTGCAATCACCACATGACCATTCCCCGTGCTTTAGCCTCACTTACACGGTATCGCAACTCACTTCCCGATAGGTCACCCATCCTTTGACTACTCCAGCTCAAGCACGCTTAACTCTGAAGTTCTCTCTGGATGTGCTCCCGAAAAGGTAAGTGCACTTTGGTGACATAGGTAGCCAAATCAATTCTCTTAAGCCTTTCCAGATACCACAAACCGGGATGTTACAATTCACCCCCTCTCAAAGAACGCAACGTCCTCGTTGCGCCCCACGACAGGTCTCAAGACGCCTCTCAGGTCAGAACTGAGATGGCTAACCAGCTCTGATACCACTTGTAACGCCCCGACCGCCCACGGCTAATGGGCCACCCATGCCCGCTTTCTCGGCCCATGGGCCCCATCCCGTTCCAACGGTCGGTCCATTAATTTTCCAAGGCTCTAGAGTCATGTTTACTGACCCTGCAATCACCACATGACCTTTCCCCGTGCTTTGGCCTCACTTACACGGTATCGCAACTCACTTTCCGATAGGTCACCCATCCTTTGACTACTCCAGCTCAAGCACGCTTAACTCTGAAGTTCTCTCTGGATGTGCTCCCGAAAAGGTAAGTGCACTTTGGTGACATAGGTAGCCAAATCAATTCTCTTAAGCCTTTCCAGATACCACAAACCGGGATGTTACACTGAGGGCCGAAGAATTCCATCTTCAATATCTGGTTCTTCAAATTGGCAATAGGGGCAGGCCTCACAACAACATTTTTCGTGAAAACAAAAGAATTGAAGCCATGAATATGAATAAAATATATATGGTAAATAAAAGTAGAACTAGAATTTTTTAGTTACCACTAGCTTTGAGTGCTTCGTCGAATTTTAGAAAGCAT